AAGCATTGTAGAACATGCTGTCTAGCGCCATCTACACAAAACTTATTTATATCGATATTACGCCGAGAGGTTTGTCGATATATATGAAAATACCTTGCGTACCTGACCTGAATGTTCTACCTGTCATGGAAAATGTGAGTCTTCATTTCCTTGAAATAAATTAAATAAAAGTAGCCTTTCTCAACTTCGGCACAGAGGTAATTTAAAAGTAACCAACGCCTAAAAGTTTCATGACATGTGACCACAGAAGCGGAACTGTCCATAATGCATTCATTGTTCCAAATATAGGAAATGTACAGGTTGAAAGTGGGATTTTCTTACGTCCGTTACAGGTTTAAACAAAACGAAATTGATTTTGATTTTGTTAATCGTTTTATAGATTTCAAGATAGTGAGGCATGGTAGGAGAAAACAGAATATGCACATTTAGTTATAACATCACAATTTTAAGGGCCCACAGTAGCCTTGAATATTTTCTTCTTCTTCTGAAATTGGTTTATGGGAGCTCAATGAAACGATATAGGCTATTCATAATCATATATTTTTAACGTCTGTCCTATTTTACCCTCCTATCCAGTAGTCTTGGATGCAAATCATGAGCTAAGTATTCTTTAGGTTTACCTGATCAAATTGCGACCAAAGTAGTTTTGTGAATGTAAGCGAGATCATATGTTGGTCAACAAAGGAAAAAGAGAATAACATTGAGAATGACGAAAATTGCGCCACCACATTTGCCAAAACATGTCAAAAAAGTGGAGATAACAATGTTATAAAACTCTAACTAAAAGTTAAAGGTGGATGATGATCATGATAGTAATCCAATCATTCATTCGAACAAAAAAAAAATTATATTGACATGTTCAAGGCCTTATCTGATAATATTTTAAAACACGTATTTCTTCTGTTAAAAGTGCGCATACTTATTAATGTTTATTGAAATCAAATTGCGAGAATGAATATGGAATCATTGACGACATTTATGATCGTATTATCTCGGCCCAGTTTTACGCAAATATAGCTCAAAACGCTTGGTAAGCTTAAGCCTCCGTCACAAATATCATTACGAACTGCTACGAACGCCGTACGAACGATTTTCAGACAATGGAAATTCGGGAATCCAATGGAAAAACAGGGAGATTCGTACGAATTTATCGTTCGTACGAACCTTTGTGACTGTAGCATAAGATCCTGGTTACATAAAAAGACATTTTGAAAGTTGAAAACAAAATCAATGGAACGCTGCGAAACATCGCAAGATGTAACAGTGTTGTAATTGAATTACAGTGTCTTTCCTATCCGATATTGTCTCGAATAATTCCACATCAAGAAACGGGAATAAATGAAGATTAATGAATAAAAAATCTATTGTGACGCGAAGTGTTATCAACCTATTGATATCGATCTCCTGCAGATCAATGGTGAAAAGAAGATAAAAATATGCTTTTAGGCATGATCCTTCTTGACCGACAAACAATAAATCAATTATTATTCAAAGCTGGACGACTTTGATTATGCGATGCACCTATTGTCGCCAGAAACAAAATAAAACGACGATTCCAAGAGCTTGAGGCAAAATGGACAGAATCATCCAACAGCTGAGAATATAAATCTATTTACATATATTTTACATCTTTTCAATGGTAGATAATACTATCCTTTTTAATATTAAGATGGGGGAAAGGTACCACTTCAAAACTACCTTTGAATAGAAGTCAAGACATTTGCATACACAATATACCAAATGTCACATTTATTTAATTTCAAGAGATGTATGGGAGTGATGGACATCCTCAAAATTTCAGACAGATGATTTAATTTTCCCCCTTTTAGACAGTTAGGTATGATCTCATTTGTTGTAAAGAAGTACACTTACAACTGAGATTTCAAGAAATGTAACTTTTCGATTTTGATGGAACGGGCTTTTTGAGATAACATTATGATTAAAGTCAACATTCGTCGATTTGTTTTTCATTCAAAATGTTAATCCGTCATATCTGCCTTTTGTTCTCTCTATGGCTCATTTACAATATTTTGAAAATCAAAATAGAAATAGATAGATACTACAGAATAGCATTTATAAACATCATCTCTTCTCTACATTTTTGAAAAAAAATGTACTTTTGCCATGAATTGACCGTATATATGTGCTTTTTTTGTATTTGTCAATGTGTTTAGCAATCGGCGAATCTTTTCGATTTTTCTTACTTTATGCAACTGCACGCAATCATAACATTGATGACAACAATTACATTGCATAATTTTTGATTGAAATCACCTTAATTTATGGAGTTTTGATCTGAAAGAAATTAATTAGATATATGTTTGGCATCATGTTTACAACAAAACATTTTGCCAAAATCTAAATCATCTCTTCATAGAACTTCTGCAATATTATCGTTCACATACGTAAGACAAAAGCATCATTTTATGTATTTGATATAAAAATAACAAGTTTTCCTACACAATCTATGGGAATGTGAATCAAATACATTATTTCCTCTTCTAAGGAGTCCTTTCCTTGCAAGACTACTAAAAAGTATACCTTGTTTTTGTATTACCTACCCTGTACCATGAAGCCCTAATTTGATATCGCTCGCAAATTTTAAAACATGTAGAACATGCCGTATAAAGAGTAATTTCACAGGAAACGTATGATGTAACTCTCCTGTCAATATGTGTGTTGCTCTTTAACATTTTGTAGTTGAGGCTTTTAACCCAAAGAGGATATAATATGTAATGACATATGGGTTCTTCTGATATAGATATGATTCATTTACCTTCATTTCATTTGAATTCTTTCTACAGAGTATTTTTGTCAAAATAATGTTTCAATAATATTAAATAATTACTCTTATCTATAAATCAAATTGTAATACAGTTTTATTCAATACCCCCTCCATTTTCTTGTCCGTTATAGTCAATGTGGTATCATTAAAGAATACAAAAGTAACTCGCACCGTTACCTCCTCATACCACAATCGCTTATTCATGGGTTTTGTACAACATGCAGTCCTGTCCTATCCGCTATAACCTATCCACTATACATAAAATCATCATCATTACCTCTTTTTGTGACGAGCACTCTTGATAGCAAAAATAGAATTGTCACTCTCCGTTTTATCTTATAAGAGCACTAAACATGACTCCTCACGCACTGAACGTCGCAAACAGGTCACACTTGAGCTATCATCAGTCCTTAGAGACACTCCTTGGCTCCAGCAGAGTTGTTTACAATGGCCTTTATTACCGCAAATTGAATTTACGCATTATCCCTGATGGAAAGCATCTAGATTTAAGATTGATATCCTATGGTTTCTCGCCATCACCACAAGAATTAGAGAAGAAATCATCGATATACTTGTTGGTCAATACTTGAATATTGTACTGCAGATATCCAATTCCGATAGACATGTATATGTCCATTCTTAGAAGCAACTTATATATTCATTTGTGTCATTACACAGTCAACGAAACCATTACATCACTGCATTTTTTTATAACTTTGCTTCAGTCGATAAAAATTGCTCAAATGCTCCAAACAAATATTGCAATGTTAAGTACCAATTTTCTTAGTTCCTGTTAGATCATGTTTATCTACACGGATCCGTTATTTTCAGTTTAAGATAATACATCGTATAGTTGGTGTTAATAATTATCTTAAATTATTAAATATTTCGCAGTCAGACCTATGTTCATTTTGTTATAGCTCCGTGGAATCTATAGAACATTTATTTTGGGATTGCCCATTTGCCCAATCATTAGAAGGTTTATTGCGGATGTCCAACATTTCATGTTAGAGGATAAAGTTACTGTGAATAAAATTAATTTCATATTTGGGTTTTATAGAAACGTTGGAGTTCAATTTAATTTAATTTTTTTATATGCCAAATACTATATATTATTTCAACAAATGCAAAAATAGCGTACTCTCACAAAATTCTTTTAAATGCATGATAAGGTATTATCGTTTTATTGAACAATACATTTATGTTAAAAATAACAAATTTGTATCATTCGATAATAGGTGGGAAAAGATTGTGTTGCTTAAAAAAAAAAAAAAATACTTGTATAATCAGCTATAATCTTTTTGTTGATTCTATTGGTTATATTATGTATGTATATTCATATATGTTTTGTTATGTTTTGTAAAGTCGAAAGCAATATTGAATAAAGATGATTTTATTAAAGAAAATAAAAGTTAGGTACCAATTTAACCAGAAGAAGAAGGAAGGAAGAGGAGGAGGAGAAGGAGAAGAAGAAGCAGCAGAATGAAAAGAAGAAGAAGAAAAAGGAGGATGTTTGCATGTTCTTGTGTTTTTCATACCTGATTGAATTCAGGAACAGCCTGAGGAGTATTATCAAATCATTTATTTTTCTTTCAACTTCTTTCTTTAATCAACCCCCAAGAAGAGTAGAGAAAAGGCTAGACATACATTTCCTTTGCCTATAATATGTAGAGGAAATACAAATCAAGATGCAGTTTTATTTGGTAACATTTATTCATCAGTCCTTTATAATTTATTCATGTTTGTACATTATTTTGATTACTGTAACACTATTTTAAAGAAAATATCATAGCACAGTGAAAGTGCTTTTTATGTAATGATGAATAAATTACATCGGCTTCAAATATATACATAGTTTCTAATGAGAAAGGTCTTTCATAGTCAGTAACCCTGGCGAGACCATCGACCAAGAAAAGAAATGTGCCTTTGGCTCTCTGGAATGATTACAGAAAATTCCGGAATTATACGTCCTTCATGCTATCCATTTCCACTAATTAGATTGAGAAACAAAGAAAACAATTTACACAGTTATTATGTACAATATGATGTATGCATCAAAAGGAATGTAATATATCAGTAAATTGTAGACACATCATAAAAGTCTGCTCATGAAGTTTAATTCGGCACATCTTTAAGATTTGGGGAGAATACACAATTTCAACGTTTAACCAAATCAAATTAAACATTTTTTAAATTCCACTTTGTTTGGATTAGTAGGGCACTAAACACTGTCCTCAACAAACGACAATACACATACAGCTAACAATTAAATTAGTCATACCCTTAACAAGTTTTGTAAATTTTTTGAGTATGTGAAAAATTGATTTGTCCCAATTTATGTTTCTTGAAAATGTGACACATAAGAGCTAAAAACATCTAAAAGTATTGAACAAAGGCCCTAATTCAACCAGTTCACCTTCCATTCGTGAGTTACGAAACATACCCCCAAAACAACAAATTTACAAGGGGTATGAATAATTTAGTTGTTAACTGTACACATATGTATATGTCTCAGGAAAATGAAAAAAATATATAATGAAAACTGTACATAAAGGAATGACTGCTTTGAGACTCCTATTGTGCTGCTCTAAGTATTCAACATAACGATTAATCAACATTGATAGATTGATCAAAAGATAGCACTAAACTTTGACAATAGCGATACAAAATGAAACTAAGAAAATCTCTCATAATGGCTTGTTCTAATTTCCGCCATAGAGAAACTGGCATCCAAATAATTATTATACACCTTTACAACTAATTAGAGTGATAGGCTGATTGAACACGGGATCTAATTTTGACAATTACTGAATCAAAGCAAAATAGAAGAAAGGAAAATGTAATGGCATGTTCTATATTTATAGTCATCAATCGTTCTCGATGTTACATAAACTGCATTCGCAACTAGCCGCCGAACGAAACGTGACTCGTTTTCTGATGTTGTTTTCACATTCTAAAAGTACGTGTACCTGTAGCAAAAAGATAAGAAAAACAAAAACAAAAAAATATGTAAGGCACATTAAAAGATTTGAGCGTTGTTGGCATTTTCATTTTGACAAACAAGAATGAATTACTGGCTTTCTACCGTTTACGGATACTGGGTGGAGAAGAACGGCGGTTTCGTATTTCCCTACATAATTTATTTAAATCCAATTTGCATATTGCCTATACAACCGTGAGAGAGGGGTCGTAAGTAATTTGTGAGTTGTAATGTAACAAAAGTGGTTGTGCTAATCATAATGACATAATACATTCAGAATGCACAGATATCTTTTTAAAGAACTTCAAGGCACATACCAGGCATTTCTATTATCCTTGCTTTGAAGCTTTAACAACAAAAAAATCCCCTTGAGGTGCTGAAAGAGTCCAGGGAAATAATTTCCTGGTACAACCTACTTACTACACATGGATTGAAAGTGCCAAGTGTAATTGATAGTTGTCCATTGAATTTTATTTTAGAGCGAGCTTGTGGTGCTCTCCCAAATGACTCTGAGCTTGCTCTGCTTCATAGTGAACCAAAAATGAATTCAACAAATTCTTGTGTCATCCAAAAAAAAAAGACAAAAAGGGTTCATGGCTACCAAAATCATGGACTTTTTTGGCGCCAATTTAATTCCAGACAAAGTATTCAGGTAACAAAAAAGAAACACTCAGACAAAGTAACATAAGAAAGGCAGACCTCCAAGAGGAAACGTGATGCCGCCGAGGTCAGAAAGGGAGAGATTATTTGTTGCAGTGCCTCTAGAAATTAAAGAGAGGCCATTTGGGAAGGATAATATAGTGCATGGCTGTCCAGTGGGAAGTGGGTGGTACTTTCAATAACCGGTTGAGCTGAAAAGGGGGGGGGCAGAGAAGGTTTTCTGACTACTATTTATTTCAAAAGGGTTTCTACTTCATACGTGGTTTGTTAAAAACAATTGCTAGCTTTTCAAAGTGATATTTGAAATGAATGGGTCTCTTGTCAACGTTAACCTTAAAAGAGTATCTAATAAGTCTTACACTAAACCGATTATCAAGTTTTTTTTTGTAGGATTTTTAGGGCGTATAATATTTAGAAAGAACCGGCTAAAACGCGAGAGATATGTTGGTTACGAAAAGAAAATAAAATCATCTATTTGACATGGGATTTGAATACAATCTACTTTTCAAAGAAGTATTTTAAAGATAGACTTCATCATGTACTTGTAAGTTTACATTAGACCTGTTTCCACACTTGGATGTAGTAAATTTTCATTACGATCCCAAAGACTGTCTTACGAAATATAACCGAAAGGCAGCTTTAATAGTCATCGATCAGCCTTTTGAAACGTGCTTACATTATTTGATAATAACATGATTTCTATAAAGGCAATACCTCAGGAAATCTGGCCTGATGCTGATTTATTGAGAGTCGTTGCGATTGCGTTCTTCCTTTACGATATTGGGTGTTTGTGTGCGTTTGTGAGTGTGTGGGTGTGCTCGCGATGGGTGATGTGCGTGCGTGTGGGTTTGGCTTTGGAGGGATCGGTTTTTTTGCATCGATATACTTTTCTTTCTTTTTTTCGCAATGAAGGTTTCAATGCACTAGACTCACTTCGTGTGTATCTTTGATAGCACAACACCGGCCGTAAGTGGTAAATTTTTGCCTGCCCTGACTGGCTACCAATGTGGTCCATTCGCTGGTGTAGGAGTAAGAGTTACAGAATCCTCTGCATGCATTCATAGCCACCATCTCTACGTAGCAGCCGGGTATCTCCACCTTCTGTGTGAAACCTGGAAAAATATTCAGAATAAAAATGAAAATAGAGGCATTATGTCCAGTGTTTGCAAGAAGAAAAACGAGCATAATCTCTATATCACATGGGCTAATTTTTTTGTGAAGGTAATGTAGATTTCAGTGTGAAAATTAGAATATTTTAAAAACAATATATGCTTGGTCTCTTTCTTCACAGATGAAGGATATATGAGTTTGGTCATTTCAGTTGGGGAGGGGGTCCGACATATAGATAAAGCAAGGGAAGAAGGTGGAAGAAACCTGTATAAGATCGGCTAAAAAGTTGGAAAGCCATCAAATGAGAACATTATCAATTGTGAAGATGGGTTCCTTCAAATTCCCCCTCAAATACAACTGTGTGAAAAGCAATTAAATGTTCGTTTTATGAAGACATTTCTCTAGACTTGTTTATTTAAGGAAAATCGTATTTGAACTTAACCAGTACGTAAAGATGATCAAATGAACAGTTGCAATCGATTTCTTTTAAAAGTTAGACCCTTCAGATCATCCTTGGGCGTGACATTAAACATATGAACAAATAATTTGAACGTTCTACATTTGCATTCGATTATTTCCCTGTGAGAAAAGCTTTTAAGATAAAGAACAAACGTTTGGTTATCATAGCACTTTTCCCCTTGGAAACGGGTCAGCTACAAGCAATTATTGAATCATGCTTTTCACCGGTCCTATTAGGCATTACTGATGACGGAATCACTTTTATTTCTTCACCTCATCTGTTTTATCTCCACTGTTGAGAAATAGAGTCCCCTCTTTTTAATTGACAATTTAGTTATCATTTTAAATTTTCGTCGTATTCGTAGATGCAAATGTTCTCTTCAGCACCGAAATTGATACTCTGTCCATTTGCATGACAAGTTGGCCATATGTTAAATGCTTCTTCTCTTGTGAAAACTGTACAAAAAATTGATATTCTATTTTTAAAAATTAAATTGAGTTAGTATTGTTTTTCCCTCCTAGTATTTACATGACACGAATATTTGTTTTGCTTACCGACATCGATTATAAATTGTACGGTTGGGGGCCGGTGAAAAATGTACCATCCTTAGTGATGATAAATTCCCATGTTTTGAACCGAATACCGATTAGAATATCATGAAAAATTGGATCCATGCATTTACGACTCTCATAAACTATAATTTCCGACCTACGTTAATATATTAAGATTGATGACAATATGAATGAGAGGACATATGCAATGAATTGAAATTGAAACGGTAGTATTTTCAGTCATAACGTTTAACAACTCCTTAAATAGCCATTTTTCGTATTAACATTTATATGGATAATAATGAATGATGTGAAAAGAAAAATATTTGAGTATTTCAATTGATTCTAGGATGAGTGGTTATTGTGCGTTACTTGTCGTAGATGTTGCTTTTCAGGAAGAGAAATAGAGAGAAAGAGCGAGACGGGCAGGAAGAAATATAAAAAAAAAGAGAAGAAGAAGCAAACGTAAGGTAAGCAGATTAAATGACATAATAATAATAATAATAATAGCCTAATAGTCCACTCCAAATTTTATTAAACCGAAACGGAAATTCTTTTTGCCCAATTGATCGTGATCAAGTTGAAGCAGCACTGGCGATGGACAGAGAGAGAGAGAGAGAGAGAGAGAGAGGGAGTTCGATGGTTTGTGGTAACAAATAGATTGAGGGATATAAAGAATATCTTAAGAAAAACAAAGTGTTGGGCTTTACTCTATTTTCATCTCCTGGGTATTTTGACCCGTTTTTAAATGAAATTTGACGGATCTAAACTTCCTCTGTGGAATCGAGTGTATCAATCATAATGCCAATGATTGTTTTAGAAGTGCGAGTGACCAGGACACGTCATCAGAAAAGAGGAGTGTGGAGTTGTTTTTTTCTTTCGAAGAATAATATTTTTACTTGCCGAAAACCATTTTTTCTTCGATTTCGTCCATCCACGTTCTGAAGGAGGACATTTATAAATATAAATATATTTACAATAGATGCAATGGTTCATCGTCTCTGGCAAAACAGTAAGCAATACTGAGAAGCCATAATCAGTATTTTCCTGTCTATTAAAACAAATTACATGGGATTAACATGCAATGTGTAGTGTTTTTAATCGAAATGGCTGAGATTATGAACATTGACATTTTGTTTTAAATAGGCCATGGAATTTAAAACCATTAAGCTATATGGAATATAATGGAGAGAAAATACCGTCTGTTTGGAAGGGCAATATAACTCATATATTTTTAACATATATTTAACGCCATTTTGGATCCAAACAGACGATACTTTGCTCTGGATAACGTGAGAACATTTAATGACCCCTTCCCCTCTCTCTATCTCTCTCTCACATACGCACACACGCACATCCCCTCCCATTTTTGCCATCTTTTCATCTCTTTTCTCTCTTTCTCTCTCTCTCTCTCTCTTTACTGTAATATGTACCTCATCCAGATACTCATCCTGAAACCAATGACAGTCATGAAAAACTGCGATTCACACCTGCGCGATATTTTAATTTGCTTGTCAGATCTTCAACTGGGTTCAGCATAGCTTTATCCGTACTTAAAAGGGTTTTAAAACATGTTCCATTACTGCACTTTTCGAACGTCGTGTATCCTGCTTTCTCTGTCATTGTGGGTGATTACTGTTGACATAATTTAAGCTTTAAAGGGTTTTATCTTTCTAGTTTTCTGTGAAGATCATATTATGTGATCCTCATTTCCATTTAAATGGATGCTTTTATGGGATCGCGGGGAAATCGACATATATATGTCTGCCTACAAAAATAATATTAGCGTTTATCGTTACGGCATCATAATACAATTATATGACTACGTTAATGCTCTGAACAGAATTTGCCCTGGAAAAAAACACAGACAAATTAGAGAAGAAGATGCCTCATTGAACATAATATGTAACACAATCATTCCATGAAACATTACCCACTGGGTAGCATTAAATGGGGAAAGCCTGGGGCATGAAATGTGTGTCTAATGATTCTTGGATAGAAGTACTCTATATACCTGATACGACCAGATCTCAACCTCTCCAATTTCTTTCGTTCTCTCTTTGTTGCAATGACGCCCTTCGTCATTGCCTTGTTTTCGTTCACATTCTGCCCAAATTAATATTCTCCTTTTCCTTATCCTTATCGTCAGGAAATCGCATTCGTTTTGCACATAGTGCTTGTTATTCCATTGCACGCAGATCGTTCTGACACGATTGCATTTCTAGTTTCTTTTTATCTCCCTTTCTCTCCAAATGTCCCCTACTGTTTAAGGTGTGCGTGTATATCTCTTACTCTCAATTTTATTTATCTCTTATCACCTTTATTGTTATCATTTTGTTGTTCTCTTCTGTTTGTAAAAGAGGGATTTGTTTAACTTCATCATTTCTGTTACCACTTTGTATTGCGTAACGAAAATGAATGAATACTAATACCTTATTAAAAAGTTATAATATTTAGATTATATAGGAGAGGATAGGATATAGAATATTTTGGTTTCATTTAGAGCAAGAGGGAAGAGGACTCCACACCTGGTTTTACAGGATTTTTGAATACCTGAAATACAAACCATGCAATACAGATACGTGTATATGGCAAATTGAGAAAAAAAGAGCTACCAGTTCCATTTATTTAGAGTGGGTATAGGATGTTAAAAACAAAAATTGTTATAAATTTTGATATATATATTCATTTTAATATAATTTGACGTAACTTGTCAATGAAATAAGAAAAAGAAGCTCAAAATACTGGGTAATGAAGTGCGTATCGGTAACTTCTTACGATAAAGTTTGAACCTCTGTGATTCAGGATTGTATGTCATGTCAAGGAGTATAATGAAGTCCTTTCCTGTTTCGGCTGAAGCAAAATAATGATGCCTTTGTATATAGCTTACTTGGTTACATAGACCAATTTTTATATAATGTGAAATTCATTTTGTTAAGAACAAACATGTATGTTGGCAGAATTGTGTTGGATTCAGTATTTTTCAAATATCGTCAAACAGTAATTTCTCAAAACAATTTCGGAATATCATGGTTTCGTCTTTTAAGGTTAGCTTGAGTGTAAGGCAAATTTACTATTTAATCCCATCGACCCTTCTGCTGCACATGAGTACGACCTCTACTGTTTACATGGCCTTACCAACAAGATGGCAGCCGGGTCGTTGCCAGGGCTGAAGTGGCTGTCTTGCTGCGGCTAGAGTGATGGATGTCACGAGAAAGGCTGCGTAGACCACTAACACTTCAGACTTCATCACGATAGCATAGATGGGGGAAGACTAACACGTCCTCGCCAACTTCCCTGACAGCAATCCCAACGTGTTCTCCGTGTCCTCGGGGACAGCCCTCCCTAGTACATCGAACCCGAGTATGCTTGGCGGCGCCTACAGGGAATAGATAGATTAAAAGGTAGATGGAGAAAGAAGGAGAGAGACAAATACTTAAAATAATTTTTCAAGACGAAATGCAAAGTTGAAAGAATGGTAACCTATACTATGTGTGTCTGAGAGAGAGAGAGAGAGAGAGAGAGAGAGAGAGAGGGGGGGGGGGTGGGGGATAGACAGATAGAGACAAATGAAGGGGTAAGATGGAGAGAAAGGAACATATACTTATGTAGGAAAGAGAGAGAGAGAGAGAGAGAGAGAGAGAAAGAGAGAGGGGAGAGGGGAGGATTGAAAAGGTATACAAACATCAGAGCTGAAACAAAAGGAGATTTAAAGTGAGATACTCATGGGAAGTGGGATAGAAGCATTTTTGATGGGAACCACAATTCCACATGTGTAAATCTGAGATGTACTGAAGTGGTGCTTGCTAAAAGAACACCTCACTAACACATCTAGAATCAAATATAGATTGGGAAGAAGGACAGATGATGCCACGTGTCTGGTGCATATCTTGCATTTCAATACGGTTGTAATAAAATATACATAATATTGCATTTGAATTTTAAAATTCCTGCCAACAGAGCAGGTCCATGATTACCTGATAATCCGAGATTGTAACCCTTCATCAATCAATTTTATTTATGAAGTCTTGTCGCCCGTTTCCTGCTAATATACATTTGTGTTTCTTGGAGCGGTCACTGAAATAGCAATGTATTAAACTTATTAAACGTAAGTTTGTCTAGCGGTACGTTCACTTATTCAGCTCTCTGCCAGCTCTCTGTCATTGCCTACAAACTGACTCAGGCGACCCCGGTTCGAAACCGAGTCACGTCTTTCGGATGGTAGGTCCCTTGACGTAAATAATTATATCTGATTGATACACGTCCGTAAAAACCCAACTATACACACACCCACATAGAATCACACACACACACACACACACACGCACACACACCCTAGGGAGGTGAAAATAGGTTAAAAGCATGCTTCAAAACAAACCCTGCGGATTATATTTATTGCGCCCTATTTATGAATTTTGAAACATTGACATCTCTATTCCTGCTTGCCGTCGCAACTTTTGCTGACATTTACACGACAAAGCGATGTTTAGTTTCAAGTATAAAATACATTGCTTGGAAGTAGACTTAAGTTAGCACGATCTTGACCTACATGTATTAATTGGTGATGTGAACTTCTTATATAAAAACACTGTTTTTCCTTTAAAGCTATGGCAGTTTGTAACAATGGAAATGACAAACTCATTCTATTTGTAATCACCATTTCCTTATTAGAAAACCTTATTAGAAAAATACACAGAATCGCCAAACGAAAACAAAACAATTCACTACACATAGAAGAATTATTTAAAGGGTTCATGACTGCTTTAAATAGAGTATAGAGACGAAGGCCTCATTCTGACATCCTGCCTTCACTTTCTACGTTCAGGTTGCCTGACCAAGTATTGACTACCAATCAAGATAAGGACATTATCGATGGTAAAAAAAAAGTGGTCACACGCAGTGTCCTAGTTGAGCCCCGGGTTGAGTCTCGCTTGGCTCTGCATAGTTTCTCTGCAAGAGGATGATCTTTTGGGGGTAGACACACAGAGAGGTATTTATCGGAGACAGGGCTCTGCAGATTCTGAATCGCTTCCGATGCAAATGGGAGGTGTTGGATTAGTGTGTTAAGGTGTCGTTTATTTCTGGGAAGGAATCTGGTTTATTATATATGCCTACCATTTTGGTTTTCACTGTACCGATCTTTGCCTCCATGTTTGTCCTGACCCTTCACACGATTTTGTGTCAAACTTTTTAATATTAAAATATTTTAACGAAATTATTCATAATTTACAACAAATGGAACAGAGAAGATTGCCCTTTTGGTAATTATATGACAAGCATGTATATGGCCCAGAATAAACAAATATGGGAGGCGAAGAGGTTACATGAGGGTAAGAGCAAATTATGGGAGAAGATGTGATAACTCAAACAAATATGTGTTTTGAGCCAGTGGTGGATTAAAGGGGTAGTCACATCCGGCAAATCATCATATTAAATATAATTTGAAGTACAACAAAATATTGAATTTGTGTTTGTTTGTCGGGGCCAATACTCCCCCAAGAATCCTTGATCCGCCCCTGTTTCTAGCTGATCGGGTGTGGGGAGGTAAGATACAGGTCACGTCATCCCATTCAATATAATTTGCTTGAGATGATGTTAAGCCTTGGCAGTAGCAATGCAATGTATACAAATGTGTTTAATTTATGATATACATGACCTCTTTTTCCGATCGAATGAAGGGAGCAGTGGCTCCGGATGCAATTAAGGCTAAATTCTATCAAATTTCCTTTAATGTCTCATTCAAATTTTAAATTCATCTTCAGAAGAAAATGATGCAAAGTCTCATTTTAGAGGCTAAAGATATTAACTTTGAAAGCGGTGTGGGGCTGTTATTTCTTATTTTAATAAATTATTTGATGTATACCTGCGCATTTTTTGTTGATATCGATTACGTACATAATGTCACATCCCACGCATGACGTATACATATATATAGGTATAATAAGATCGAACGCATGCTGTTTACAAAATAATGCCAAGCCCCATATTGGTAGAACCAACGGTGTGACAGCTTATTAAACTGTCCACCCACACTCGAATAACATTGGCTGATGAACAATGCATAAATATGAGGGAACTGATCTGACCGATATTTAGTCATTGTAGGTCCAACTGCCAAGTTATTTTACTAATCAATGAAAATATTGTACCAAAAGTTGAACAAACAACTTGAATAAAATATGTTTTGTCCAATGATGTTACTGGTAAAACTGAGTTTTTCAACTAGAGATAGACTACAGACACCCATCAAACCACCGGTGCCAAAACAAGCAATCGATTTTCACTGCGCAGACACAAACACACACCATGAATGTAGTGTTTACATGTACATTTAACAACTGAATTATTAGCGTATTACATGTAGCTAAAAATGTTATGCACATAGTATGGATTCTATATTATTTTTACAATGCAAGGATTACCGATTCTATCAGAGTGAGATGAGAAGTCCTCAAAAACGTAGATACTGTACAGTACGAGTGTTTAGAAATGCATACATGATTATGACAAAGCCTCAATTCATCGACATGTTAATTGAATCAAGGTAGGCAAGTTCTACATAGCAACTTAAGAATTTCATTTGTAAGAAGCTTGTTTCAACAAAGACTGGTTGAACTGATGCAGCTCATCGATAATACACATATGAACCTAAAGACGAGAATTGTGAAATGTAGTATGAGAATATCGGCATGAGTCGTAAACTGACATTAGCCTCCTCATTGACTTCAATCTTGAGGGATGGGGAATGATACTCCGTTTTTTAAGAAGGAAGGAGGCAAATACAATCACCTTTTCATATTTGGCGGCCGAGTAAAAAGTACACAGGCTTTTGAAGTAATCGATACTGTGATTATGATTTTAGTAGCCTCTGTTGTCAGTGAAAAGAAACTTATTTATGTTATCAGAAAAAACCCAATTAGCTAAAACTCATATGTTTTGAAATCTATTTGTATCCATATCACAATCATTATCGATACCACAGGTGCGAAAACGCTCTTATTATGATAGACTCTTACGCTTATCATCACAGCAATATTTTCCTATACGAAATTAAACTGGCATGTGCACTTTGTTTATCAGCCTGTCTAACAGGGATTACTCCCTTCCTAAAGCTAAGGGACTTAACCTTGAGTATCATTATAACACCGTCATCTTATACTTGTTATAGCAGTTCCTGTTGGCCCAAATGTTCTGTCTATGGAAATGGAGTTGCGAGTGACGCGAGTGAATGACCCATTATGCACTATAGCCTCTCTGAAAATGAAGACTTCGGTTTTTGTCATTTTCGTTAAGTTTACTGTAAGGTTTGAAGACGGGAAATAGAATTGAATTTTAACCACTCTACATGTTATTAGCTTATTTCGAACACACACAAAGCCAATAGGATTCCATTCTAAAAAAGATAAGCTTCCCTTCCATTATATGAACCTATTCAAATGTATTCAACTTCTCTCCTTTGAAAGGTTTAGATAAGTCCATCGTTGAAAATTCTAATTTTACTCTCCATTTCGAACATTTGATCTGGGTGACTATCAAGGTAATACTTTACTTTCAACTGCGATAAAAAGAACTCTCGCGTTTCCATTTAAAGACAGATCTCTCCTCGTCAAATAGGATAAAAGGATTTAGCTTCCTGACAACTCGCTCATGGCGTAAAACGGTAAAGATCAGTCGAAGGTTTACGATAACTTCGAAGGGCTTCCGTTTTCACGAAATAACAGGTAATTGTTTGCACTAAGCATTTCTAGCAGTTTAAGAAGGAAGTAAATATTCATTCATATTTTCAGCAATGAACAAATAAATAAAAACTATCGTAAATTTTTAATTTCCCGCGGCTTCACTCTATCTATACGGTAAACAGAGTGAGAACAAACAAACGTACCATTTGACTTTGAAGTTACCGCTTGAAATTTTGACATGTTTTCTTACCATGTAAACGGAGCTAGGATGATTAACTGTGGAAATCTATAGATTTGCATTATTTGTTCATGCTACGACTAAAATGAATCTAATAATAAGCCACGCATCATATCCATGTCATTTCGACCTAAGGTATATAAGACTGATATTTACAGAAACCATATATTTGCACTAGGAGAGGTGGGCGATAATATTTCGTTGCTTAAATACAGTTGCACTAGAATACTTTTATGATTTTTGGCGCCAATATACCTATTGAAATAGGGCAAATATGACCCAGAAATGAATGTATAAATGGATAAAGCCGGACTGAGTCCTTTACAAATTGAGGGACTTTTTGTCAATTATGCTATTCCGTAAACGGAAACCCCTGCCAAAGATGATTAATTGTCGGTTCCCTCAGCGTCAGAAGCAAAAAGGATTATACCAGTGACATCAAATAAGCTAAGATCAGCATCC